ACCTTATTTGTTAATAAATCAGAATTGTTAGCCAATAAAAAATTTCCGAAATTCAATTGTTGCAATATATAAGAATTATTGTATCGGTATATATTAAGTACGTACGTAAGTATGCCCTAATTTGAACCGACTTATCCTATTTTTAGACCTTAGAATTATTATAAAAAGGTCGTCTTTTTCTTCAATATTAAATACTACACAATGATTTTTAAATCTAGTAAATATCCGGACATTGAAATTCCCAGTGTAGGAGTTTATCAATATGTAATCAGTAATCCATATAATGTTCCAGACAATAAAGACATATTTATTGATGGAATTACCGACGAAAGGGTCACTTTTGGTGAACTAAAGAGAGATTCGAAAAGGTTCGCGGCCGGATTACAAGATAGAATTGGATTTAAACGTCATGATGTGTTGGGAATCTTCTCTCCTAATCAAGTATAATTTCATCTTATCGTTATTGTTATTTAATGTTTCAAATTCAATTGAACAATGAATTTTGGTGTAGATTAATTGTCCCATAGTTGTTTTTGGAGCGTTAGCAGCCGGTAAGTCAGTTACATCTTATACTGTATGTCAAATATCCTATGAAGATTATGATTTAAAATTTTTATTAATGACATTTAGGTGGCACCGTAACAGCAGCAAATCCAAAGTATACGGCACGCGAATTCGCATCTCAGTTGATCACTTCAGGTGCTTCCGTTATAATTGTGCATCCTAAATATCTTGACACCGCTATTAAAGCTGCCAAAGAAGCTGGAATTCCCGAATCAAGGATTTTTTTATTTGGCAATAGAGAAGTTCACGGATTTCAATCTTATAGGTCACTGATTGGTGATCGTGAAGCAGAACCTGTTTCGTATTCGCCGGAAGAAGCTAAAAACACAACTGCATTTCTGTGCTATAGCTCTGGAACTACTGGCATACAAAAAGCCGTTGAAATTACACATACAAATATTATAGCTAATATGGCACAGATTTTATCTTCAGGTTATTTTAATACTCGTAATATCTTCACAGGAGCATTGGTAAATTTCATCCCTAATGTTTACTATTTAAAAAAAGCTAGTTGTCAACTATTATTTTTCTTTTCTGCAGCCATTTTTCCATATCTACGGATTGACTTTTGTCGTTCTTCTAGTTCCACGTTCGGTAAGCATGTAATGGTGAAAGAAAATTATTTATTAGTCAATTCACTTACATAATATCAATCACTTTAAAGGGTGCTTCCGTGGTCGTCCTTCCTGAATTCAATTTGACGACATTTTGTCGCTGCATTCAAAAATATAAAGTTAACTTTGTTTACACGGTTCCACCGATGATACTTGCATTAGTCAGATTCCCCTCGATTGAAAGCTTGTCAAGTGTAGAGATAATATTTTCTGGTGCAGCTCCCTTAAGTGACGGATTAATCGATGATTTTTATAAACTTTATAAAATACCGATTAGGCAAGGATACGGTAAGACTGCCAGTGCTTATTCTTTCCCATTTTTACATCATATCATATTTAAAATTTATTATTCATTTTATTAAGGACTTACTGAAACGTCCGCGTTATTAACGATATGTGAGAAAGACAACATTGTCTTAGGTATTAAGTTTA